ATGATAACGTGCCTAACATAAAGCAGGTGTCACTAAATGTTTGTTGAATGAATGAATCAGTGGGCAAATGGAGACTGAGAGATGTCTACAGTCAAATCAGCTGGACCCAGGGGCGCCTGGGTGGCTCAGTTGGTTAAGCGACTGCCTTCGGCTCAGGTCATGATCCTGGAGTCCCGGGATCGAGTCCCACATCGGGCTCCCTGCTCGGCAGGGAGTCTGCTTCTCCCTCTGACCCTCTTCCCTCTCGTGCTCTCTGTCTCTCATTCTCTGTTTCTCAAATAAATAAATAAAATCTTAAAAAAAAATAAAAAATCAAACCAGCTGGACTCAATAGAGTGGTGAAATCAATTTGGTGGATTCTAATGAACATTTTAAAAGATTTTTATTTATTTTAGAGAGGGAGAGAGAGAGAGAGAGCCTGAGTGGGGGAAGGGGCAGAGGGTGAAGGACAGGGAGAGAGAAAGAATCCCAAGCAGAGCCCACACTGAGTGGGGAGCCTCCATCTCACAACACTGAGCTGAAACCAAGAGTCAGATGCTAAACTGACCGAGTCATCCAGGCGCCCCCCTAACCAACCTAACCAACATTTTTAAAAGATGGAATAGAATAAATAATCTCAGAACAGATCACATATAGTAAAGGTAAGTGTTATTTTGTGAAACTTTAGTTGCATACACACATACACACATATATGTGTACACACACATACACACACATTTGCAGTGATGATAATCCAAATATTCAACCACCAGCATGACACAGACATCAACTGATTGGAATGGATGTTAACAATATCTACTGGTTGTCTGAATACCAGTATAAAATCTATCTCTTTTAGTAAAAAAAAAAAAAAAAAGCGAAATTCATTGGTCTATGAACTGTAGCCTAATGCTTTTGGGGAATGCAAGGCAGTGGGCACATGTTTCTATGCACTCTTTCTTTGGCATTGGCCCTGGCCAAAGGAACATGGCCATGACTCACGCCTGCACCTGGGGGAGCCTTTCCTGGATCTAGAGCAGTCCTCACATGTCACTACTTGGGCTATTCTAGGTATCTGTGTTTCTGCCTGCCAACATCCATCCCCCTTTGTCAGGAACTATCAATCCCCCATCTCCCCACTGCCACCACCACCCCAGGTGTCCACTGAGGAGCCACCTCAGCTGGGGTTACCCTCATGGCCCTGCAAGTTTCCCAAAGCACTGACTGCCCTGACTCCACCATGTCCTTCCACAAGCAGACAGCATGTCCTCACTGTGCTGTGCTCATTCTTACCTCCAAATCTTTGCTCACCCTGGACCCCTGCTTGGAAGGCCTTTATTCTCAGCTTGCCTGAATCTCGTCAAGGCTTTGAAAAAGAGCACTGCCCCCTCTTGCTGGCATCCAGGGCTGTCCTGGGCATTCTACATAGGACCTTGGTGTCTCCACCCTTTCACCTCCAAATATTTCCCACTGCGCACCTTCTCTAGGAAGCTTTGGCTGGGCTGTCTCCACATCTCAAACTCTTTCGGGCACCTACTTACTCATCATTCTCCCCAAATTACCTTGAGAGTTCCTTCAGGAATGAATTGAGTAACAGACAATTTCCACTACATCAGTTTTCTCCAGAATTTTATTTTGGATTTTCACAGACTGATATAACTTCTGGGGCCCCTGGGTGGCTCAGTCAGTTAAGCCTCTGACTGTTGTTTTCAGCTCAGGTCATGATCTCTCAGTTGTAAGATCAGCCTTGCGTCAGGCTCTGCACTCAGCTCGGAGTCTGCTTCAGATTCTCTCTCCCCCTCCAGCTCTCTCTCTCAAATAAATAAAATAAATAAAATCTTTAAAAAAAAAAACTTCCAAAAAACTGGGGGCTGACAGATTTTGCCTATTAACAGCATGTATATAACAACCATGTAACAACAGGGAAAACCAAACAAAACTACCATTGTATTGTTGCCATTGTTTCATAAAAACACATTTGAACACCCAAAAAGTAGGAAGGGCATAATTTTATAACAAAGAAGCATTCTTTAAATTTATCTTTAACAAAAAAACCCACATTATCCTCATTTTCATCATTTTGCTGTAGACCAGTGACAACATTGTCATGGAAACCACTAGAAAGGTGCAGGAAAGAAGAAAGACACTGGAGAATGTCAGAGGAGGGAAGGTGAAGGGACAGAGAACAGGGGTTCTCTGTCTTAAAAATTTTTTTTAAGCCACACACATAGAATTTCAGGGGCTCCACCATCCCCTCGGGGCCTTCAATGAACTTCCCAGGGGCCCTTGGACTCCAGATCAAGAATCCCAGCTTGACAATCCTGACGCACAGTGGCTGGCCTCTTGCCTCCAAATCTGCCCTTTTCTGAGCAGTTAACAGTATTTTCCAGTTTTCTAACACTCACAAGGGCATGACCAAATACTTCAGGGAAGGAGGGAACTCTGTACAAAGAATTATGAGTGCCTGGGGATCCCCTCTAGTTCACAGTGGGGCTGGGAGAGATGATGAGCTTCGTGGATGGGTAACTAGCTGCCCCAAGCAGCAGACTATGGGTCTGAAGAGAGCTGTAGATCACGACTCCTGGAGGGAGAGGACACAGTAATGACAGGAATCCCTTTCTTGGGAACAAAGCCTTCTGGCCACCTACCACAGGGTGGGACAGTGGTAAGAGCTTGGGCCCAATAGCTAGAATGCCCTGCATTTATATCTGGCTCTGTGACTTAATTGTGTTATTTGGGCAAGTTATTGTGCCTTGAACTTTTGTGTTCCTCATCTGTAAAATGAGGATAAGAGTTATGCAGCTGAAATGATAGAATACACTGAATACTCTGGGACTTCCTTGAATTTCCCAGCCTCCCCTGCAGAAGGCTGAGGACATGTGACAGGTTCTGGCCAACAGTCTGTGAGTGGAAGAGGTGTGAGTCGCTCCTGGCTGAGGCATTTAAGTGTCCTCCATTTCTCTCTTCCACCTTCTAGCATGACCCTGGAGGCCAGTCTTCCAGATGGTGTAGCTACAAGATGGAAGAAAGGTCTTCTGTCCCATATCAGATTTTACATGAGTGGTAAATAAGACATTATTGTGTCAAGCCACTGAAATTTCAGGAGCTCTCCTTTGTGACAGCTAGTATTAATTACCCTGACTAAAACAGTGAGAGCTAAATGGGATTATGGATCCAAAACCCTCTGAGTACAGTGGAGGCTGTTATTCTTAGAGAAAAGCCTTAAGACCCCTGTATTAGTCAGTCCTGCTGCCATAACAAAATATCATAGACTGAGGAGCTTAAATGACAAAGATGTATTTCTCACAGTTCTGAGAACTGGAACCCCTAAATCAGGGTGTCAGCATGGTCAGGTTCTGGTGAGGCCCCTCTTCCTGGCTTGCAGATGGCTGCATTTTTGTGCCATGTCCTCGAATAGCAGAGAGAAAGAGACAGCAAGCTCTGTGGTGTCTTTTTTTTTTTAAGTAATTTCTACCACCAACGTGGGGCTCAAACTCATGACCCCAGATCAAGAGTAGCATGCTCTATCAAGTGAACCAGTCAGGTGCCCCTCTGGTGTCTCTTCCTATGGGGGCACTAAACCCCTTAGGGGGGAACCCCCATGACCTCATCTAAACCTAATCACTTCCCAGAGTCCCCATCTCCACCTATATCATCACACTGGGGGAGAGGGCTTCAACATATGAATTTGGGAGGGGCATAATTAAGTCTGTAGCACCCCCTACTAAGCCAGGGCTTCTTACATCTCTTCTTAAGAGCAAATTTTTTAAAAGATTTATTTATTTATTTTAGAGAGAGGGAGAGAGAGAGAGCAAGCAGGGGGAGGGGCAGAGGGAGAGGGAGAGAGAGAATGTCAAGCAGAGTCCTCGCTGAGCATGGAGCCTGATGGGAGGCTCAATCTAACAGCCCTGAGATTACGACCTGAGCCGAAATCAAGAGTGGGACGCCTAACCCACTGAGCCACCCAGGTGCCCCAAGAGCAAATTTTTATTTATTTATTTATTTATTTATTTATTTTCTGAAGATTTTATTTATTTATTTGACAGAGAGAGAGACACAGCGAGAGAGGGAACACAAGCAGGGGGAGTGGGAGATGGAGAAGCAGGCTTCCCGCTGAGCAGGGAGCCCGATGCGGGGCTCGATCCCAGGACCCTGGGATCATGACCTGAGCCAAAGGCAGACGCTTAACGACTGAGCCACCCAGGCGCCCCCCCCCCCAAAGAGCAAATTTTTAAAAGCAGAAGCGGGCAAGGGTGAGGTGAGGTGGAGTTTTCATGGAGAGGGACATCCTGAGGAAGGCCTACCTCCCCCACAGTTCCACTGATTGCTACATTCCACTGTCCCTTAACCCCCTTTTCCTTCTGAGTCTTCCTCTCTCCTCCCCTCCATTTTGTCCCCAGCCCTGACTTTCATACATTTCAGACAAATTCTTAGACAATTAATCAGCTCATCAAGACCGACAAGTCCTAGGTCTTGGAGGCCATCTCGTCTTACCTCCTGATTCTTACTGACAACAAGACTGGACCTGGAGAGGGCATGAGAAGCACCAGAAGTCGGCACTAGCTTCTCCAAAAGATACGGGGTTGGGGGCAATTGGGAGCACCAAGGACAAAGAGAGAGAGTCAGACTGTTAGGAAGGAAGCTCATTTCATTTCAGTATATCGACTTTGCATAATTTTTCAAAACAAAATTTTCTTTCACAGGTGTTTTTTTTTCAGTTTGGAAGTAATGCCCATGGAGGCCCCTAGGACCCCTAAAATGTACCATCCAGCCTGTCCAAGGCTTGAATCAGGGTGTCACCAGAGCTCTTTTCCTTATTCCATTGCTTCCCAGGGCCTGAGAGTGTCCTCGGCGGTGCTGGAAAGGGCTTCAGTCCGCCTCCGCTCCTGAGCAGCCTGTGACCATTAACTTCTTCACCCCCCACCCCCCACCCCCGGCCCAGGGCAGGCCCCTGGGGCCGGGTCACGTGCCAGGCAAGGGGTTTATCGCTGGGGCCCCTGGATCCCCAGCAGAGCCTCGAACCTGAACCTCGGCACCCAGGCCCATGGCCACAGCCTTTGTACTCCTCGTGGGGGTCCTGCTCCCTTGCTGGGGCGAGTTCCTGCCCTTTAAAAAGGGGTTCATGAAGGTGAGCCAAAAGAGCATTTCGAACCTTCCACTATAGTCGAGGGTGGCGGCCCCAGCGTCATAGAGCAGCCAGGAGGCGCCAGTCGGGTTTGGAGAACAAATAGGGGGTGGGTGTGGATACCATCCCAAAATGGGGACTGGCTCCCAGGGCTGGAAGCTTAATGTGCCCCAAAGGGCTTCAAAGCCCTGCTTCACCTCCCTGGTGGCCCTGGAGGTAAAAGTAGGTCGTCTTATGACCAGCACCATGCCCTGCCCCCCCCCCCCCCCCCGCTGTCTCGGACCTGGCCCCCCAGCCGTGCCCTACCCGCCCTAATCCCCTCTCCCGCCTCTCCTGAGCATAATCACTGTTCCTTGCCTTCCCCATCTCTCTCGCCTTCCCTTTCTTTCCACCCACCCCACCAAAGTGTGATCTGGGAGCATTTGCTCCCCTAGCACAGGTTGCGGGGGGCGCCCAGGGAAGGAAGTACTAACCCCCCCTCCTCTCCTGCTCCTCTGAGCACTGCTGGGGTGGGTGCAGGGGGGTGGGCACCGGGTGGTCACCATCTCGTGGCTTCTCTTCCCGGACCCCTGGGGCCTTGGCAATACCACGCATCCTCCCTCCCCTTCCCACACAGCCATAGAGCTGGTGACATGAGAGTTGTGCCCACAGGTGAATGGGGCTGAGTGCTCCCACCACTCTGAGTGTTCCAGTGACTGCTGCCTAATAGACCTGGACCGTGCTGGTGCCTTCTGTGCCCCCAAGGCCAGAATCGCCATGCTGTGCCTGTTCCAGGTGAGGCTCTGGGCGGGGGCGGCCAACTCTGCCATGAAGGGCCGGGGAGGTTACAGAAGCCCACGTGGCTGCCCTGCTTTCCCACCCTCTGCTTGGAGTGCCCTCTCCCCTTCCTCCACACGGCAAGCTCCTATTCGTCCTGCAGTCCAACTCCAGTCACCTCCTCCGGGAAGCCTTCTCTCCTCGGAGCTCCATGAGCTCATACCCTCAGCACAGCGTGGATCTCCCCCCAGTTTGCCTTGCGTTCTGTCCGCCTCCACTGCCGCTGGAGCTCTTCCAGGGTGGGCTTGCAGCATGTTCATCTTTGAACCCCTACCTCCCAACTTAGTAGGTGTTCAGTGAATGTTTGTTGAATGAACATCTCTACTCTGACTCACCGAGGCTAAGTAGATGGGAAGAGACTTTTCCCTACCAATCCCTACCTCCCTAATTTTTTGAGAGGAGCACAGCGCTGTGGTGGCTGGACCACAGCTTAGGAGTGGAACCTGAGTTTGTTTGCTTATTTATTTATTTAAAGATTTTATTTATTTATTTATTTGACAGAGAGAGAGAGAGCCAGTGTGAGTGCACAAGCAAGGGGAACGGCAGGCAGAAGGAGAGAGAGAAGCAGGGTCCCTGCCAAGCAGGGAGCCCGATGCAGGGCTCGATCCCAGGACCCTGGGATCATGACCCAGCTGAAGGCAGATGCTTAACCAACAGAGCCATCCAAGGTGCCCCTGGACCTGAGTTTAAATCCTGGGTTTTCCACTCCCTGTCTTTGTGACCTCAGCCCGGTCACTTCTGCTCTCTGAGCCTTAGGTTCCTCATCTGTAAAATGGGGCAAAAGCGACAACCTCACCGGGTTGTCCTGGCAACGACAGTGTTCATCCAAGTTTGGTTATGAGCTGGCAGAAATGCAGAACGTAGCGTACATGTTGTTACTGCTTGTCATTTCTTATCTGGCCCTGGGCCCAGACCTTTCTAGAAGAATGGGCTCAGCCTCCATGCCCCTGTCTGGGGAGCTGCCAATGCCCAGGGAAGCAACCAGGCCCCTGACTCTACAGCGGGGTGGCCAGAGGGTCTTTTCATTATGGGCCCTTGCTCTATTTTATTTAGTCCTCACGGTCACCCTGGGGGGCAGGTTACTATTACTGTCCCCATTCGACAGATGAGGCAACTGAAACCAAGAAGCTCATTAACCTGCCTAAGATCATATCTGCTGTAGAGCTGACAGACCTCAGGCCGGCTCACCCTTCGCTCGTGCTTCTGTCTCTGAGACAACCCCTTTCTTCCCTGTACCGTGATCCCTGCCAACTCTTGTTCGCACTTCCCACAGACCAAGGGAGCCATCAACATCATCTGCCCCTGCCAAAGTGGCTTGAGCTGCATATCCAAGGACCCAGTCTGTTCCCGCCGGTGCCATTTGATTTAGAGGAGGACACAGGCTGGTTGCTGACCCCCTTCCCTCCCTCGGGGCCAGGGGCCTGAAGAGCCCCCATCTTGCTCACAGTCTAGCTCCTGAGACATTAAAGTCACTTCCTGACTCTGGCCTCTGTCTGCACTTCCTGGGAGAGGGAACCTGGTAGGGATTATTCCAGTCTCGGGGCGGGAAAGTTCAGTTCTATCTGGAGGTGGGGTGGTCTCAGGGTGGAACTGCAGGAAGGCAACAGGTTAGAGGTAGGTGAACAAAGAGGCTGGGTCCAGGAAGGGCATGGAGGGCCGTCTGGGAAAGGCAGGGTTGAGGAATGTGGCTGGAGAGTGTATGTTGGGGTGCCCATGAATAAGTATGTGGTAGAAAGGACTGGAAGAGAATATTGAAATGCTTTCCAAGGGAAGCACAAAGATGGAGATCATTGAGAAAATGTTGATGAGAATGTGTGCAAAGTATAAATGCAAAAATGTTCATGCCTATAGTAGGAAAGACCTGGTGCACTGAGGTCTCCACTCTCTCAGATATTATCAGTTCCATTCTATGGGTAAAGAAACTGAGGCTCAGAGAGCTACATGACTCTCAAGGTCAAACCATGGGGGAATTAATGAGGAGTCTTTCTGCTGCAAGTATCCAAAACAACCCAAACTGGTCTAGATGATCAGGAAATTCATCGGTGGTCAGAACTGGGAGTTCAATGGCAGGCAGGCCTCAGGTCTGGCTGAATCCAGCAGCTCCATGGCCCTGAGGATAGATTCCTTCTCAGTAGCTACAAAAGTTCTAGGTGTCTCTTAACAATAACAGCTAGGATTTCTTGAGCACTTACGTCCCACCCACTGTGCAAAGCGCTTTCTTATCTATGTCAACTCATTTTATTGTTACAACAACTTTAGAGTAGGTACTATGATTATCCCTATTTTACAGATGGGGGGGCGCCTGGCTGTCTCAGTCAGAAGAGCATATGACTCTTCATCTCAGGGTCATGAGATCGAGCCCCATGTTGGGTGTAAAGATCACTAAAAAAAAAAATAAATAAATAAACCTATTTTACAAATAAGGTGTTGAGTACCCTTCTCAGGAGTTCAGAGTAAGAGATGGGGCTAGGATTTGAACCCGGGCTGTCTTGCTCCAGAGGGCAGGCCCTTAATCACAGATCCACCTCACATGCACATCACGCATTCCAGAGAAAGGAAACGGCTCTGTCCCACACTTTCGCAGCAAACCACCTAAGATTAATTTTGACTGGATTGGCTCAGTCCGCATGTTCACCCTTGAACCAATCGTTGTGGGGGAATTTGCTGATTGGCTTCACCTGGGTCGCATGCGGGGGTGGAGTCAGCCTCCCTGGGAATATTCTGATGGGGGTGGGTGCTGGTTTTACCTGGTGTCTCCACAGCTGGGAGGGCACCAACTCGGAGCCCCACCCCCATTCCTGGCAGATCCTGATGAAGATGCCTGGCCTCAGCTCGGGATGTCTGGACCCACTCACTGGGGTCAGACTGGAACTCTGGGACCCTGCCTCGCCCCCAAGTTCAGTTTGTCCTGGGAGCCACCCTGCCCCAGACGCGCTCGTCACCTATCATTTGACATAAGGACACTGTAGCTCCGCGATCCTTTGCCTCACACAGAAATCAGGACTTGCTTTTTCCTATATTATATCTCCATCGTTTCCCCCATGTCACTGAAGTCTTCTTTAAAACATTAATGACTACCTAATATTTTTTAAACAAATCTTATTTTATTTTTTAATTTTTTTTTAATTTTTTATTTAATTGACAGAGAGACACACACACAGCGAGAGCAGGAACACAAGCAGTGGGAGCAGGAGAGGGGGAAGCAGGTCTCCCGCGGAGCAGGGAGCCCAATGTGGGGCTCGATCCCAGGACCCCGGGATCATGACCTGAGCCGAAGGCAGACGCTTAACGACTGAGCCACCCAGGCGCCCCGATGACTGCCTAATTTTATTGTATTATGTGGACCATATCTTGTTCAACTGTTTCTCTCTGGGTAGATACGAAGATCATTTCCAAATCCAAACCAATCATTTAGGATACAAGTTTCTGGCTAAGGAAACAAAACCCTGCTGAAATGATAACTCAAGCAAGGTGCGTGATTTCTCCCACACGTGCTGGTGGGTGAGGGCTCTGCTGGTGAGGTTGTCCTTGAGTCCACCGCCCTCTATCTTCCTGCTCCACCATCTGCTGCGCTCCTCCCCTCCTCCCCCTCTTTCCCCTCCTCCCCTCCTCCCCCTCTTTCCCCTCCTCCCCTCCTCCCTTTCTCCCCCCTCCTCCCTCTCCCCTTGGTTTCTTTCTTTGTTGCCTTATAGGAGTTAATATGCAGAATCAGAGGCATTGTTTTTCTGCATCTGGACATTCAAATATTAACGTGTTCCTCACATGGAGGTTTTAGAGGAATAATCTTGATGCTGAAAAGGCGGGCGCCTGGGTGGCTCAGTCGGTTAAGCGTCTGCCTTCAGCTCAGGTCATGGTCCCAGGGTCCTGGGATCAAGCCCCGTGCATCGGGCTCCCTGCTCCGCGGGAAGCCTGCTTCTCCCTCTCCCACTCCCCCTGCTTGTGTTCCTGCTCTTGCTGTCTCTCTCTGTCAAATAAATAAATAAAATCTTAAAAAAAAAGAATGCTGAAAAGGCAAAACTCCCGGCCCCCTGCATATAACCACATCTTTTTCCTCCCATCTGATCAGCCTTTGCTCTGCCCGGACATGGGCTCTCATCCTCTCTCTCAGAAGCCTTATTTCTAAGGTGAGGTCTCTACCCCCATAGTTTCCTTCTTTTTTTTTTTTTTTCCCCAATACAAGGCAAGAGACAATGCTATGAATTCAAGTCCCGTTTCATTTTCTTCATCCTTGGCACCAGAAGGATTGCTTTCCTACAGGGTTGCTTGGGCTGTGTGAACATTTCTAGCCAGTGAAGTGACAGGTGTAACTTCTGGGCCAAAGCAGAGAAGCCCAAGTGTGACACAAGAAAAAGGAAGGTTCCGTTTTTGACGACTGGCCAGTGACAGCTTTCTAGCCCCTTCTGCGCCACATCCAGGCAACCCGATAGAAAAGCACATGCCCCCTCCCTTGGTGCTGCTGGGCAGTGCAGACCACACAACCCCCAGCCTGCTCAAGGGAACCCTCAGTCTGGCCCCATCGCCTAGCCACAGTAAGAACCAAAGCCACACACCCATTCATCCTTGCTGCTCACACCCCCTTGCACCTCCTCCTGTGTTCAAGTAATAAATCTTTTCCTATGATCTTGGTATGCGTGATCTCTCCCAACATCCAAACCAATATGGGATGAGAGTTGATTTCCCCCTCCATGAGGTGTCAGGGTGTAAGGAGAAGGTGCAGTTTGAAACATGGTGCTTACAGATCAAGTGAAATTTCAAGAAAGACCTAAAGGTATAGAGTATTATAATATTCTCACTTATTCAGCACTTATGCATTCAGCACCTACTGTGTGTGAGGATTTTAGCCCTGGGGGCTAAGAAATATGGCAGTGAACAAAATAGGGAAAGAGCCTTGCCCGCCTGGAACTGAGGTTCTAGCAGGAGGTAGAAAAGTTAAAAAAAGAAAAAAGAAAGAGAGAGAGAGAAAGATGAAAATATTTCAGAGAATCCTAGTGTTGTGAACATAGTGAGGCCGGCTGATGGGGCCTGCAGTAGCTGGGTGTTCAGGGAGGCCTCAGTGGGAGAAAGCCAGACAGAGCTCACAGGGCAGCATGTTCTGGGCAGAGGGACCAGCAAATGCAAATGGCCGGGGGCCAGGTGAATCTGGTGGATTCAGAGCCCCAGTGGTGGCTGCCGGGTGTGTGTGTGTGTGTGTGTGTGTGTGTGTGTGTGTGTGTGTGTGTGTGT